GATGAACCTGACTGCTGTGTTTGCTTGTGGAGAGAGCATGCAGTTTGGTCCTCAAGCACGTGCTGTAGCAGCTCACCCTGAAAATACAGCACGCTTGCTCTGAACTCAATACTCATCTGGCCACCCCCAGCTAAGGGTGTGCATAGTGGGGCTTATATCACTCTGGTTTTTACTTCCAGCTGCTAGTCGATGTTCAAAATGCTTGCAAGGCTGAAGACAGTCGTGATATAAAACCATTTGCCTTCACAGTGTGGGGGACAGAAGAGAAGCCTTCTTTCATGCACTTCTGCTTTCCTGCTACCGCCTCCTCCACTGCTCAGTGGTTCCTCCCCCAGGTGCTGGATTCAGGCAAGCCCCAAGAAGGCAGCAAACCACACCACTGTGCGTATGCAGCAGAAGCCCCAGTGGATGCCATCCAGGGGGTACTATCTCCTCACCCCTAGCTGTCTTCCTGGCTCACCCAACAGCTCTGTACAGACACAGAATTTCACAAGGGAGAGGACTGAGCTTAGCAAAATTTTGCAGATGAAAATTTTGGGGTGAGAGGGCCAGTTGTTCCTCTAACATCCACCCTAGGCTGGTCCTCAGCCTTACAGGAGCCACTCACCCCCAAACGCTCTTTGTAGCAAGTTAACACCAGACAGAAGCCCACCAAGATGAGCACAGTACTCCTGTGCATAAACCATGAGAAAAGGAGCATGACAAAAATCTGCCATTTCTCTACCACTGCCTGGCTTGAAGCTTGGAAGAAGGACCCACAGTTAACAGGCAATGGCAGATACCTAATCCAAAGAACAGAGCCAGAGTCACAGGCTGAGGGTGTGCTGGTCGTCTGCTAACAAGTCCCTGCAGAGCTCCAACAAACCCTCACCAAAGTGAGGATTTCTATTCCATCCTTTTCTACCCGCCTGTCAGTGACACTAATGATTGTGCCCTTTTCCCTTAAAGTTTCATCTTAACCTAGGTTTCCATAAATATCTTTCTTGATCATTCATTCCTTGTCAGGTGGGTGAACTGAGAGAATCCTCCTTTTTCACGTGGGAGCAGAGAAAGATTTTTCCACTGCAGTCTCTCATTTGCAATGGAGCAAAGGCAGCACCTCCAGCTCCGCACTCCCGCTTTTTCTCAGTGGTTCAGTGCAAGGGCTCCCATCTATTCCCACACTGTAGGCATCTCACAGGCGTGCCTTGGCAGTCCCTCATAGCCCAGGCAGAACTGCATCCCCTGCACCTTTCTCTTGGCACCGCTGGTCTTGCCCCACAGCTGACTGTGTGATGCCATCTTTGCCCCCTACGGCTATTCAGTGTACAAACCTTGACAAGTCGGGTTTTCGCTTCCATAGGAGCCAGGTTCTCGCCTTTTCTGCCTACACAGCCAAAATTCACGAAGGTCACCTTTACCCTCCCCACTAACATGACGCCCTTCACTGATTTCCTAGACATGGACAGAAGTTTTCGATTTGTGATGTACTGACAGACTTTTTTTAAGAGTCAGGAGGACTCTGTAGGTGGCAGACAGCGCTTTGCACCCATTCCCCACTGGGAGCTGGAAGACTAGCAGCTTTGGCCAGCAGATTACAGCTGCTCCCAGAAAGCAGAACCAGGAGACCAAGAGCAACGTGTTGTACAGCTGGAACCTCTCCAGCTCCTAGCAGTTTCTCTGATGCGGAGACCACACTGCTACAATACCAGACGAACTCAGCTCCAGCCTGCCTCCAAAGCAGGCAGCTGCAAAGAAACCTCCGCTCTTGCCCAGGTCCTGCAGGGACCAGACCCAGGCCCACCCCAGACAGAAGCCAAAATGCTGGTGCATGTCCAGTGCAGCTATTCCCAAGGAGTGAGGGGTCCATCTAGTGTGGTCGGAGCAGTACTGCCAGAACCATGGGCAGAGCAGCCACGTACGCTTCCCCTGCGGCACCCGTGGGGACCCAAAGCCTCATCCCTGGGAGGGAGGAGGCACATGCTCGATTGCCTGATTCACTTCACCAGTGCAGAGTGAGTGAAGGCAGGTGGAACCTGGCTAGGCTGAACAGACACGGCACATTTACATGTGGTAAGAAGAGTAAGCCAAGACGAAGGCTACATGCTTACAGGGCCTGAAGGCAGGTTTTAGGGAAAACAGCCTTGGTGGCTGCTGGTTTGCTACCTCCCCAGGACTACTGCTGCGCTTTTACTTCCCTTAACAGATCCCAAGAGACTTGACCAAGGTCAGACTGTGCGAAATGGATCAAGGATCGATCCGTACTTCCTGGTTCAGAGAGCGATTCCTCCTGACAACTTTCACTGCTCAGTTATCCCAGCTGAAAGAAATTGAGTTTATCTAATGTCTTCTACCTACACAAGCTTTTAGGTCTTACACTTTTCAAAGATAGTTCTGTCCAACATCACATTCAAGACCTGGGAGCATAAGGGTAGGGCCAAAACATCTTGCAGGAGTTTAGACAAGTCTTATAATCACATCCTTTTACTCCCTTTTACAAAAACGGGACAGTGCTACATCCAGCTCCCTCCGATAGCAACATAACAAGGTAGAACTTGTTAACTGCAGGAAACAGAAACGGAAAGGGCTAAACCAAAAGAGCTGCTACTCTGAATCCTGCCCATATTCCCCATGTGACAATTCCAGAGCAGATCACTTACAAACTCCTCTAACAGCTACGGATGAAACTGAAACTAGGTGGCTACCAACTCTGAGTGCCAGAAATCAGTAGGCAAATCAGTGCTGTACGTCTGCTCTGCTCATTAGTTTAGAAAGACATCTGGGAAGCTTCACGACAAAACTGCCTGTGGCACAGAGTCTTAAAAAGCTCAGGGTTTGCCATAAGCCGTTTCCTCGAGATCAAAGTCATGCAGTGCTCCCACGCTCACGTGAAAGACTCGAGTCTTAAACAATTTGGTTATGATCAGATAAAACACAAGAAAGGGAACAAAAATATCTTCCCCATCTCTCCTTTCACCCAGAAGCAGGTGAATCACTTTGATTTAAAAGACATCTAGTGGCAGATAAACTACAGAAAACAACTAATCAAAAGGACGTTATTCTGGAAACTTCTAGATTTCCCATTCCATGGGAGTTTCAGAAGGGAAAGGAGCTACTTCCTTCTTCCATCAGACCAGGCATAAGTTAGACAGATTTAACAGTGAAGCAAGTTATAGAAAAAACTCTCAGACGACTAAGTCAAAAGGACGTGAGGACCCTTCAATAGTGCTCCAGATCCTCCTCTGCCTGTGTCACCTAAGCCTTCCTTCCTGCTGGCAAGGGAAGGCAGCAGAGACACCATGAAACCCGAGAGTTTGTATGACCTAAAATTCCAAGTCAGGTTTAGGAACAGCCTAAAATAGCACTGGGGGATGGAGGGCTGTGTATTTTATTTTTTCATACATACAAGCTTTTTCTTTTTTTAAATAAAAGAAATAAACTATTAATTCTGCCTACCTCAATTTTTCAGCTTCAGTTACTCTGACCAAGTAAAAACTTTCATCCCAGGGACTGACAGCAAAACCACCGCAGGTTGCTGGGACAGAGAGAAGCCCACTGAGCAAGAGAACAGCGAAGTGTCTGGCAAAGCCCATGGTGAGCTGGGGAGTGCAGAGCCAGCAACAGTGGGATGTGTATGGCAGAGAGACTCTGATCCCGTTCAGCTGGAAGACAAGCAATAAGCAACAGCAACCTGAAAGAACACAGATTCCACCCATGTGGAAACGCACAAGCAATACCAATCAACCTCAAAGACTTTTAGTAAGAACTTTCAGTAAACACACACAAGCATATATACAGCCATCTCCTGCAGAGACAAGCAGTTAGGTGGTTCCACACTCGGAACAGGGTAGGCGAGTCAGCACCACCAGGCTGGTGGCTCACAAGGCGCTGAAGATGCTCCCGTGTGCGTGCTCACAGCTACTTCATGTTTCTGGAGGGAAGCGTAGGACACCAGACTTCTCGGTGCCAAATACAGAAATCACTCTAAGTCAGCAAGGAGCAGCAGGGCTGACTTGAGCAACGTGCTTAGCTTGCAGGTTGTTTATCTTGTAAGACTTGTTACTTATCTTGCAAAACTGATATAACAGGTTGTGATCTAGCGCTTAAATTGGCTGGGTGACATCTGGGGCGAGGTGAAGGTCTTGCAGCCTGACGTTGCTTCAGCAAAACTAGAGACCCACGTACATCTGTACTGAATTCCCCACTCCCATGCTGAACCACTGACCCCCACCAAACTTCCATAATTAGCAACACTTGCTAAGAGTCAACCAGCACATGGTAATTGACTTAGTCCCACCTCACCAGGAATATAAACGTGGCATTTAGAATCTTCTATTTTGAGAATGAGAACTCCAACTAACTGGATGGGTCTGGACCTCCCTCCTCCGCAAGCAGTGATGTCTCTTTGGTAAGATTCGTGCCTCTATGTCAGGTCATACCTGAGGAAATTGTTAATATTGCTTAATTAATTAATTACTGGCTAGCCTTAAGACTAGTGCTAAATGCAGCAAATGAATTTATCAATGGCAATTCTGAATTTGTTCTATCTGCTGCCTTAATAAATCACTTCTGTTCAACTTTGCAAACCTGGCTCAGTAAAAGTCCTTGAAAGGGCTCTGACAGGCAAACGTTGACTCTGATAAGTGGCTACACACGCACTTCTTTAGGTGTAAACCGCTGACCAAGTCTGGGACTAAGACTAGATCCAGCCACACCCAGATGCCTCTCTGAGAAGGAGTTCAGAAAGCAAAGGGGTCCTTTCTGAACCTCAGGACTCAATGGGAGGGCCTTCGACCCCCCTGCCCAGCCACACATCAGACTCATATTTCTAATGTGACAGGAAGGCCAACAGGTCTTGGAGATAGGCTCAGCGCAGACACACACACTGCTGCAGTCATGTGTAACAGCCATGTTATAGGGTAAGGGAGATGAGAGGAGCAGCTGGCAATGAGAAGTAGCAAAAATGCTCTGAAGACTGTGCGAAAGTGCCTGAAGACAGTGTCCATCCGTGGGAAGTCCGGTCAGAATTTGACAGAGAAGGAAGTCCCACAGGAGCAACCCTTCTCTGCCTGGGGGTTGCTCACCACCTGGAAGGAGCTGCGAATCAGCTCCTGGCTGAAGTCCACCATAGAACCTTTCACGAAGGCCAGGCTGTCCACATCCACCACCACACGGGCACCACCTTGTTCAAACACCCTGCAGAAAAGCACCATGTTTAACCATTAACCATGCTGCAGACTCGACAGAGAAGCACAACCTGAGCACTTTCCTCATCTCACAGGCTTGCTCCCTTCAATTCAACGTACTATCATGTCATGCACGCCCTCCTCGTCACCTCTGCAAACAACAGTCACACCCGACCACCACTACACCCCTTTGTCCTTGCCTGTCATCAGGACCGATAACCGTGTCCAAGGAAAACTTGTACTGGAATCCAGAGCAGCCACCCCCTTCCACCTGCAGCCTAAGAAACTCTGAGCCTTCTGTGATCTCCAGCAGCCTCTGCAAGGAAAAAGAAGAGGAGGATTAAGAGGCCCGCTGAACAAACCGGCGGCCGCTCAGAGGCTTTCCCGGCGTTCTCAGGGCAGGCCCGGCAGTTCAGAATCCCTCCCGGGATACCCGAGCTGCCTCCCGGGGTCCCACCTTCACGCAGCTCTCGCTGAGGAAGACCTGTTCCTCGCTGCGGTCGCTCTCTGTCGGGCCCGGCTGGGAGAAGGACGATGCCCACCGCGGCGGGCGACCAACCGCAGAGGCAGAACCCGCCGGGGGCC